GGGCAGGTTCCCGACACCAACTACATCTTCATGGTACGTGCGCGCAGGGCTTGTCCCCATCTCTCGGCGGGTGTTCAAAAAATTAGTTTAAAGTTTAAATCCTGATACACTCGTTGAGTTTCAGACCTTGTCTGTGAGTGTTGTGTTGCTGTTTGGTTGTGGCGTACGGGTTTTACTTTGTTGAGTATTGTTATTTTATTTTGTTGAGAGTTGGGGGTGCTCAGCCTGCAGAAGAGAAGGCTCCGGGGAAACCTTAGAGCCGCTTCTAGTGCCAAAAGGGGCTCCAGGAGAGCTGGGGAGGGACTCTTGATCAGGGAGTAGAGGGACAGGATGAGGGGGAATGGTTTTAAACTGAAATAGGGAGACTTAGATTAGATATCAGGAAGAAATTCTTTACTCTGAGGGTGGTGAGCCCCTGGGGCAGGTTGCCCCAAGAAGCTGTGGCTGCCCCATCCCTGGAGGTGTCCAAGGCCAGGTTGGACGGGGCTTGGAGCAACCTGGGCTGGGGGGAGGGGTCCCTGCCCAGGGCAGGGGGTGGCACTGGGTGATCTTTAAGTTCCCTTCCAACCCAAACTGTTCTATGAGTAAAGTACGAGTTGCGTGGTGTACAGCGGGAGAGAGGAGTGTGATGCCTGCCTGGCTGAGCTGTGCTGTGGTGCAGCAGCACCCGGCCGTAGTGAGGGGTGTCCTGAGGACTCGCCAGATTGTGTGTCAGGGCAGCTCTGGGTGAGTGTGGTGACCAGTTCAAAGCTGAAACTCCTAGTGACCAAAGAACATGTTGTCATAGACCCAAGCATATACCGGCTTCCCTTCAGCATTTCTTTATGTACTGCACTGCACTGCAATTAAGAATGGATGTATCGCTTTGTATTTTTCCATTTGACTGTTTCTCCATTTATGAATATTTTTTTGACTTGCAGGGTGACTTTGTAGATAGAGGTTATTATAGTCTTGAGACTTTCACTTACCTTCTTGCACTAAAAGCTAAGTGGCCTGATCGTATCACACTGTTACGAGGCAATCATGAAAGCAGGCAGATAACACAAGTGTATGGATTTTATGGTAAGTCTTTATCCAAACAATTTCTAAATGGGGGCTAACGTGTAATAAATGAGTACGGCATCTTCCCCTCTTTCCCCCCCATTTCCCCCTTGGGAAACCTTTCTGAATGTAGCACTATCTGGGGCTTTCCTGGGATGGGGTGGGAAGTGGGATCAGTAGAACTTGAATGTTATCATTTGTTAACGTGACCATTGTGTTCCTGAAGTAGAATGTGTTTTTTTAGTCCAGATCTCACTGCTCTTTTCCTCCAGCATCTGGGTTTTCTGTTTGTTTTTTGGTGCCACATTCAATTTCAGAGACAGAATGTGTGTTTGTACAGAGTGTGCTTTGGTATCTTGTAACAAAAGGTTCTACACAAAGTAATGTAATTCCCCTGAAGTTTCAGTATAAGTGAAAATTAGTGTCACAGATAGCGTGTGCTGTGGAAGTTGTTTATTGTCAACAGTGAGCATCTGGGAAAGTGCCTCTGGTTAGAAATAAGCAGCAGAACAACTGTTTGAAAAACTGAGGGAATTGCATTGCTTGGAAACTTCTTTGTTGTTGTGTGAGGCTTTGATAAAACCTGAGGAAATCCTGGAAAGTATCTACCACCTGCCACAAAGAGTATGGTCTGTAACATACTTTCTTTTGGATAAGGTGACAAAAAGAGCGACTACAAATGTTCACAGGTTGTTTAAGAAACACCTGCCTGTCAGGTTTATTGCCACCTTGTGTAGCTTTAAACAAAGCTACTGTAACTCCCTTTTGTGGTAAGAGTATCTTCCACTAGCCCTGGTCAGTTCACGCTTTCTGCCTCAATTCTCCTGTATAATATTTGCTAACTTAACCACTCAGCCGGTCTAGCTAAGGGCCGGTTCCCACACTGAAAAGCGTGGTCTGCTGTGTGGCACGAGCCCCTGCGTTGTCTGCAACGCCGGCGTGTTGCTCGGTAAGTGGAGACCAGCGGGTGTGGGTGGGCCTGCCTGGCAGCAGGACCTGGCTCCTCCCACCGACTGCCCAGCCGTGCCTCTGATAGTGGGTTTGTTATAAGTCTGACTTTCGAGTTCTGCTGTGAGTGTTTGCCTCTGATCTTACTGCCTGAATGCCTTCTAACCATTAAGAAGAAAAACATTCTCTGTTTAACAGATGAGTGCCAAACCAAATACGGAAATGCTAATGCGTGGAGATACTGTACCAAAGTCTTTGACATGCTCACAATAGCAGCTGTAAGTGTAAACACATTATGAAAATACAAGTAGACTGTCTAAATGTGACTGCTAGAATTGGTGATCTTTAAGGGTCACACTGGTAACGTTCTGGGCTGGATTAAAATATTGACTATTTTGCACGTGTCTCTTTTTTTCTCCAGTTAATAGATGAGCAGATTCTCTGCGTGCACGGTGGCCTCTCTCCAGACATCAAGACACTCGATCAAATTCGAACCATTGAACGTAATCAGGAAATTCCTCACAAAGGCGCCTTCTGTGACCTTGTTTGGTCTGATCCAGAAGATGTTGATACGTGGGCAATCAGCCCGCGAGGAGCAGGCTGGCTCTTTGGTGCAAAGGTGACGAATGAGGTAATGATGCTGTTGTACGCAACATAAAGTAACGGCAGGTAGGATCTAATTGAAGTTTAAATAAGGTAAATATCAGTTTGATATTTACCCTAGCGATCGAGGGCACTGCGAGATGATGAACTTCCCGTGTAAGACCACCGCGAGTAAGTCATGGTGGTGGAGAATGTTTGCTCAAGCTAACTTGAAAAAAATGAGCCGTTTGAACTAAAGAGCATAAATACAGCTGCCAGGTGTGATAGTGCTGATCTTGCTTTTAAAAAGTATAATGCGGTGAGAATGACTAGTGTTGCTAGGATTTGCGTACAGTTCTTTTCTGAGGATTTAGGAGAAAAAAATTCCGTACCATTTTTTGTAACAATTCTTGACTTAGTTTTTGTTTAATTCGAAAACAGCAGAATTCTCAGGGCTGACAGACACTGACCTTCCCAGGCTTCTGGACGAGCTGCGTTAACGAGTGCAGCCCTTGTGCTGTGTCTCTGTGGCCTTTCTGCAGTGCCTTCAGGAGGGGTTGAGCCTTGCGGGTGGTGCAGACTCGTGACCTGTATTTCATAGGTGTTTCTCACTGCTCCGGTCTCAAAACCTGAACAGTGTTGTTCAGTGCACCAGCTGAAAAAGCTGCTCCGTATTCTCCGTAGCCCCTTGAGGGTGGGCGTTTGCAGGGCTGTGGCGGCAGTGGGCTGTTGCGCGGGCAGTGGTGTGCGGCTGCTCAGAGAAAACTGACCTTCTGTCTTTCATTTACAGTTTGTTCACATCAACAACTTAAAACTCATCTGCAGAGCGCACCAGCTAGTTCATGAAGGCTATAAATTCATGTTTGATGAGAAATTGGTGACAGTATGGTCTGCTCCAAATTACTGCTACCGCTGTGGAAATATTGCATCAATCATGGTCTTTAAAGATGTAAATACAAGAGAACCAAAGCTATTCCGTGCAGTTCCAGATTCAGAACGTGTAATTCCTCCTAGAACAACCACACCGTATTTCCTCTGAGCCTGTTCCCCGCCTGCTGTCTCCCTCTTTCCTTGTACTGTCCCTTTACAATATACTTTTTATTGAGCACTTTGCTGCTGAAATGCTGCCTCTTGCCTTTTTTATTTTTAAATTATCTAAATTTATTGTGTATTATGGTGTCTGTAGCAAGTTTCTTTTTTTTTTCTGCCCCCCTCCCCTAGATTAATTTCAGAGTATTTGTAATACATCCTTGAAATTTATACTACTGCATGTAGTTCTTACGTATTTCTGGGTTTAGATGAAATATTTTCCTTTTAACAGTGGCGATACCCGGGGAGCAGCTCGGGGTGTTGTTCAGCTTTTTGTTTGGTAGGTTTTATGAAATTTCAGCAGCAAAGTTACTACCTAGTGTGCACGATGGACTCACAGTGTTTGTGTTGTGTACACCTGCGCGGTGCAGAACCGGGTCGGCCTCCTCATAGTCTGTTTTAAGTGGATAAAAATAAAGTGGTCGGAAGGGCTGTTCCCCCCACCCCCGTTTTGTTTTGTTAAAAAATACAAGAATCTGCTACAGCGACTGAATTTGTACATTAAAATGATTGTTCTGATTTTTTTCAGATACCTTGTATTTTTAATAAAGTCCTACCTTGCGGCAGCCCCGCCTCCAGGGGCGCTGAGGCGGCGGGG